TAGTTGAACAAAGAGATTCTGATATGGTCAGTTTGTAGAGCAAGTCAAGTTACACAGTTACACAAGTTTCCAGACATACCAAACACGTTATCTCAGAGATGCAAAATTTTTACCTTCATCGTTTGTGGAAATTATAGACATGGTAGTTTTTCTTACATTAAAAACTTTATATCTCTGAGATAACGTGTTTGGTATGTCTGGAAACTTGTGTAACTGTGTAACTTGACTTGCTCTACAAACTGACCATATCAGAATCTCTTTGTTCAACTATACCGGGTGGATCTCCAGAGATCTGGTTGCTGAAGATTCATACTAGAAAGTCATATGGGCCGAAATGAATATCAGATTCGTAATCAGTATCAAAAATAACTCATGAAAAAGTATGTTTTGATTAAAAATCGGGGTGAATCACTTTAAACGGTTCCCTCATAAGTATATTTAATATAATTGAAAATATTTTTCAGCATTTCTCATACAAATACAAAGGAAGAGATCATAGAAAAGTTGGAATTGTTTATTGTGTAGAACGCAAAGACTGTACTAACATTTACGTTGGACAAACTCGCAGTGAAGTAGGAATTAGAATGAGCCAGCATGAGAAGAACGTAGACAATGATTATTTGTTTTCAAAAATATTTGTACTGAAAACAATCACACTGTAAATCTCGACGAACTCTGTATACTGACATATGAAAAAAATGAAATTAAAAGACAAATAAAAGAGACACTACTGACGCACGGAAAAAAAAGGTAGCATACAATGACATTTCATAAAGGTGATTTTACAAGAATGTTTTTCAATTATATTAAATATACTTACGAGGAACATTATTCTACTGTAACGTTCCTTTTTCAATCGTTCATACGTCGATCGATAGAGGGTATCAAGATAGTAAAAAGCCGAAAAGGGTTCATGCCAATGACTCTTGAAGAACCGATTTTCTGGAAAATCAGTTTTTCAGAAACTAGAATGGCGTTCCTCGTCAGTAAACGAAAAAGTTTGTATCTATTAAAAATTCATTAATGCGCTAAATTGACTCAAAATAATGAAAAAATTCAACACATACTAAAATTTTTTAATTCATTCCAACGCATTAAACTTGTTTAATTCATGAAAATGCCTTAGATCTTAATGAATTTGAATGCAATCACGTATGATCATAGCACGGAAAGGCGCCAATTTCTCAAAAAGCTTCGAAGTCCCTTATAGTATGTCTGATTGAGTAGAAAGGTCTCATCCTAGACCAAACGTTTTCGGAGAAGTTCAATGGTGATGCCAGAAAAGGTTTAAAATGCTTTCCTATAGAATGCGGGTACTATTTTTGTTTTTCAAAAATGTTAACCCGTTCACATGCATTAATTTTTAATAATGATGCTAAACCGCTCTTAAAGCCTGTGAATGTATTGAAAGGGACGAAGAAACTTTTTAATGTATTCAAGTGCGTTCAATAATTTTGTGCATTTGAATGCATTAATTTATAATGGTTGTGAATGCATCGGATTAATCTGAATACATGTAAATGCATTAAATGGACAAAAAATCCTTTTATGCATTCGAATGTGTAAAAAATTTTAAGAAGTTTAAATGCGTTAGTTAAACGACATATGAAGATGTTGAATTTGTGAAAATGCGCTCAGAAAGTTAAAAAACTTAAGACTCTCAAATACATTAACTTTTAAGGTATATGAAGGCGTTAAAAACTTTTTTTATCCATTTAAGAACTTTAGACTATTAAAGGTATAACATTCCGATTTTAACGAGTTCAAAGGAAATTTTTAGTATAAAAAAAAGTCATTGGGCATACAACAATAGCGATTCAAAGCTCGATCCAGTTACGAGCTAGGGTAAAACGTAATATTTGTAAATTTTACGGAGAAAAATATTTACGTTTAGAAGGAAACGATTGAAAATCAGAACATCATGTAAAATTAAGAAATATGGTAAGAATTTGATTTCATATGCTTTATGTCTAGACAGAAGATAATCAGTGGAAATATGTAAATTGATACGGAATTGATACATACTTCTACAATTACAAGACTTTCAATAAGCTAACGAGGGAACCGCCCCAAGTGTTTTCTTCGAAACACACATAGGCATATGTTATCGCTGATGCTGATTTCGAATATCATAGTCAGAGCGGCATACGGGCCAAAAGGTTTTTCAGAAACTCTAGAATATAACCAAAACCTTTCTTAATGAGACATAATTGTAGCCCGAAAATTTCTGATTAAAATGAGACATCTTCCAGCTCTACACGACCTTTCTTTGAAAAGTTATACAATTTACAACAATGCCCTAAATGTTCATTGTCAGCTCAAAGCTGCAAAAATAAGAAGAAATTAATTTAGGGCTTTTCTCAAGGGGGGAAAAAGCACTTTTTTTTCGTATAACAACTCAGCATCTTCTTTTCGCCATCCAAAACTACCGATTTAGTCTATCAGTAACGTTCTCCCTTCGTAAATTCAAGATGGCGGATGGTTAAAGGGTTCGAATCCGATCAAGAACTATTTTTATTATTATTTTGTTTCCATTTGAATAAAAAATAAAGTTTTATTGTCTTCTTAGTAGTATAATGTAAATGCAGTCAAACTTTCTTCTTCAGGTTTATTCGTAGGCAAGTCTGAAAAAGTAATAGCTAAACGGGTATTATATAGCATATAATACCCTACAGCACCTTTCACCCTTGGCTTTTGTTGTACACTGATGTTTTTTGAATTGATTAAAAAAAGTTTTGGTTATGTTATTTTAGAATTTTTGAAAAACCGGGTCTCCAAGGGCCCGTATGCCACTCCAACTATAATATTCGAAAGCAGCATCAGCGATAATCTATGCCTATGCGTGTTGCGAAGAAAACGCTCGGAAACACTTGGAGCGGTTCCCTCGTAAGTTTTTAATGAAATATTTCGAATCGTCTCGTACAGGCAAAAAATAGAGCATTGCGCCTATGAATATCTCAAAAGCAAAAACCATCTTTGTAATCGAAAGTCTAACATTGTTAAGAAAAGAAGAATCTTTCTGTGATTGACTCACGAATATTGTCTGTCTCAATTTCAATACTGGGCAGCTTTACTTGCTTATTCACCATCACTTTACATAGCGAAAATAAAACGGAATTTATGAAAAAGAAACAAAGGAGAATACCTGTTAGAGGTTCAATCCAATAGTCTAATGGAGTATAATACTCTTCATCAATAATATTTTCTTCATTCATTATCCATGATCGATTAACATTGATTTTTCCTTCCCATAATTCACCATCATCTTGTGAATGAACAACATATTTATAGTCAAATTTTCGTATCATTGATGGCAAATCTAATTCTACTTGAAAAAATTTTGGTTCATTGTGAAGAATTGTCTGTTGTGGACATTGTTTTTGTTCAGACATTTTCGGACAATTCTTTAATGTCCATTGTCCTAATTCTTTTATTGAACCACATAAATAAACAAAATCTTTATCTAATTTTTTTACCAATAAGCCCGGTATAACAACACCAAATAAATATTTCATTTTTATTTTACAAATATTTTTCTCAATCTAAAGTTTGAGAAAACAAAAGAAACAAATGAAAACTAAAAGAGTCTCAACTATTGATTGACTCTAATAGAGAAAACAAAAAAATAGGTAACTTAGTTTAATGTTTTTAACTAATCACCTTTATAGATCTCAGCACACCTTTTACTGCATACCTTTTAAATAAATATCAAAAATACGAAATACTTAATGTGCATCAAATGCAAAAGTACAGTGAACATATTTTTCGATCGATTTATACATGGTTGGATAGAGTTCAACGACCTGATCAAGAATGTTGAGGTTTTGATTTAAAAAGATTGAATTTTGAAGGAGAAATTTTCAAAATACTAGAATTTCATAGAACCGTTAGGTTGTGATAAATATCGAATATCGTTTCCTGTTCCGTTTTCAAAAGTCAAAAACTTTTTGTTTCGAATTCAGCATAAGAAACTAGGTCTAGAAATGCTATTTAAATAGCATTTCTAGATCTAGTTTCTTATGCTGAATTCGAAACAAAAAATTTTTGATTTTTGAAAACGGAACAGGAAACGATATTCGATATTTCTCACAACCGAACGGTTCTATGAAATTCTAGTATTTTGAGAATTTCTCCTTCAAAATCCAATCTAATAACTTGGGTGTTGGAGTAGAATCGTCCACGATCTCTTTTGTCCTGTGAGGTAGTCTTTGGTAATTTCTCATATTTTACATATGAGAAGTAATTAATCATCAATAAAAATGTGTTGTCTGCAATGTTCAATTTTTAATTAGATAAATTATATCAAAATAATAATATACATCGATAAAATACCATCTATTATTGACACTGAATAATGAAGTCTTTCAAATACGAGTAACAAATGTTATCTCTTACGTTGAAAAGAATGCCAGTATTTTTCTCTATTTTATAGCTATTTATTTTCTCTCTTCTTATTGCTGACAACAACAATACAAAACAAAAATAATCTATTATGTCTATACTCCTTGCCCTCACAGCAGTTATTTATAACACAAATCATTTAACAGAAAACAACAATTCAAGAGGAAAAAAACAACACTCTTTTCTTGTATTTGTACATTTGACGGTACTTCTCTTTAATCATTAGAATTTATATTATCAGATTCTTTCTTCCATCAACGAACACGATAAAAAACAAAGCTACGAATACAGATAAACAAGAATTTTAAAAACAGATGAAGCACAAAAACAAATTCTTTCAGTTTAAGGATCATTGATCATCAAAAATCTCGCCATGAACAAACTCATTTTTCCCTCCTCGCTTTCCTTCTTCAAATTTCTGAAGGAGTAAAATAATCTAATCAGCACTCTAATATCTCAATGGACGCAGCAACTGTCGAAAATACATAATGGTGATAACTGTCTTACCATAGTGCGATTCTAACTTGCAATATTACCTTTTCGATGTCTGCTTGATTCTATCGCAAAGCATTTTCTTAAAAAGGATCTTTTATAGCAATCATTAGGAAATTTGAGCAAAATTTTACTCGAAAAAAATATTATTTATAAAAGACGGGCAAAGTAATTTTAGCGAAAGTTCAGTTATATAGTGCCAACAAAATGAAAATGAAAGATATATTCTAATTGACTAAAATTATCCTGAAGACATTATAATTACTTTCAACTATGATCAATTAAAAATAATGGATATCTTTTTCATCTTTATTTTCATTTTTTCCAGTCTACTTTCGTACCGCTTCGTACCTCTAGAAAATTGTATGCATAATATCTTTGTGTTTGCTTAACCGAAGATAATGACATTATAATTTGTGGATATATGATTAAACTTAAATATATGAAAATATAATCCATTAATTCGTTATTGTTATTGCTTTATTATCTTCAAAAGAGAAACGAAAAGTAGTTACTATATTATTATTAATATGGTGTAGAATTGTTTAACTTCATCTCTCATCTCAAGACAATACTTCATGCCTAACCTGTTTTATTGCTAACTTTGATCTAACCTCTCGATTCTAACCTCTTTTTCAATATGAACAAATTACGCCTCGCATACTCCACCGCCAAAGAGCATTTTACATTTTTTCATTGGATTTTCCTTTCAAGATCAGGATGTAAAAAGGGAATGATGTTTAGCACGGTTAGTGAAGATCAGAAAGTGAATACGGGATCGGAATAGAGCGATCCTATTGATTTTTCTTTTTAGAAAATTGTCAATAAGACAATACACTTGCTTTCTTTCCATGAAGTGTACTTTGTCTCAAATTTTAATACTAATTAGGACCGCCAATCAAAATCAGCTACATGACTAGTCCCGATTTCATTTTTCAGCCATCCTGTTTTCCTAGTGTACGATTTTTGTAAAAAATAAACAAACATCTTACTCAACAGTCATTGATGTCCTTGAAGGATTTAAGGGTACCCCTCCCTCATTTTGGGCTCTCTGTAGAAATGCCGTGAAATAAAAACTAAAACTCACTAAAGCTTCCTATTCTCAGAACTGATTGGAACACTTTTTCGTTTTTAAGTTTTTAACTATTGTCAGTCACTAATTTTTCAAAAAAGTTGGTTTTTCATTCGACCATATTATGACCGCTCTTAAATTTCATCCGATCGAGTTAAAAATTTTACTACAGGTACTCAAGATCATAGTGCAGAGGTATAATTCTGGAATTTTCTTTTAGATCTTGCATTATCTAGTCATAGGAAAAATACTGAAAAACTTTGAACAAGTTTTTCAATAGAAACTATAACCCGGTAAAGAAAGGCCTAACAGAAAGTTCCAGAATTATACCTCTGCACTATGATCTTGAGTACCTGTAGTAAAATTTTTAACTCGATCGGATGAAATTTAAGAGAAGTCGTAATGTGGTCCAATGAAGCCTGGTAGCAAAAAAATAGTTTTCAAGAAAAAACGCATTTTGTACACAGGCCACTTTTTCCAGGGCATTTGCCGCGACGCTTATATCTCCACGAAAACTCATCGGAAAATCAGTGTGAACAACACTTTTTTCTATCAGACTATACGCAAGAAAAATTTCGAATGTACGGAAAAGGAGAGAAAAGTTTATGAAACTAAAACATTGAGGTTTCTAAATCAGCTTACAGTATAATCTAAGCATAAACTATTTTCTTCAGTTCCAGTGAAAAAAGTATGACCAATACGTACTACTAACCTGAGTGCTCATATAATAGTTCTAAGCATTTCATCGCAATTTTATGTATATCTGTACAAATAAATGTGATCAAGAAAATAAAAAATGCTTCATGCACTTTTTGTTGTGACTGTCTGGCATATACTATATACATAAACAGTGTTTCGTTGCATGTCTCATTAAAAATGAGAATAACCAAAATACACGTGTTTAACCACGCACGTGTGTCACGTGTAACGTATACATATACAGAATTTAGTTGCACGTTGAAAACAAACAGAAAAATTTCTCTTATGTTCTTACACATCAAAAACAAAAGGTTACTGGTCATATCCATCAGTTAAATTCTGTCCTCATACCTCTACTACATTCTCGCTCAAATCGAATGTAGATTCTAAAATTGGCAGAAAAAAAAAAATAAATGGAATATAGAATCGTTTCTTCTATATACGGCACGTGTCTCTTACAATTCAATGCAAGGAGAGAAAGAAAAATTAACAGAACAAAAGAAATGTCTGTATCTACAAAGAATTATCGATAGATCTGTTATGATATTACGTGGTCACAGAAAGGGAAGTTAACGCTAAGATGGAAAAGAAATATAGAAAACAGTCATTATATATACATGTGAAAGATGGAAAACAGAATCCGTACATCTAATCGAGTATATAGACATTGATTGAGTTTTTATCTAACGAAAAGATAGAAAGGTAAGAAAAGCGTTTTATCATTGGCGACCATTTTTGGCAGGTAACTTCTTCCAATGCTTATCTGTAAGATCGTTGTGACCGTATGAAATAACGAAATCACCATGGAAATAAAATGGATGAGATTCCACAACTATTTTCAATAAAAATGTGTTAAGAAGGCTATACAAGCGCGCATTCGATTAGAATACGCTTTTTTAATGTTAAAAAAATATCTTTTGTTGAAAATACTGTGAGTAGGTGGCGCTCGCAGCTGCTACTAGAAACCTTTTTGAAAGTACAGTTTGTATGACCTTGTTCAGCTACTATAAAATAGTTACAGCAGTTTTGATATAACTTTGACATGGTGACAGAAGTTTTACTGAGCATCTCTAAAAAATTTTCTGAGCACGTTTTTCCTCAAAATAATAACCAAAAAAAAAAAAGCACCACTTTTTTCTAAGTGAGCAAATTAGTGTTTATTAATATGAAATTAGATTTTTTATTTAGGAGTAAAGAACCGTTTTAAAAATGTTACAGTCCATATTTTTTGTACGATGTTCGGAATCCTCTCCTTCAGTTGCTATATACTTACTCTGAAGTTATCATTTGATTTATTCAATCTTTCGTATTACTTTTATAAATATGCGTGTGTTCACTAAAACTAAAACTAAAACTATATTTTCTCTCTTCATATGTCATTTATATGTTTTGTATACTCACTGCCTTATATATACGGAAAAGAAGAATTTCTTTTATTTGTATATACGTTCTATTCTATTAGAATAACAGCTACATTTAGATTATAACATGGAATTCAGAGCAAATAAGCACTGTCAGAGTCTTTTTACACTCTCTAACCTTGTATAGAAAAGAGAGAAACTAGAAAAAATATAATATCTAGAAAAAATTCTCGTTCTCATGTAAGAACAAAGAACATGTCGCATTTTACAAATGACTCTATGAGAAAGAAAACTTCTGTCTCTCGCGATCTTCACATCTGATTGTTTTTCTTTTCTCTCTCTTTGTGAGTCAGTTCTCTCTCCTACTCTCAGATTTATATACATCTGTGTATAGAAAAAATTTGGCACAATACATAAAGATTAATTCATTGGTTTTGCATTCAATAGTGGGTGAGTATGGATCTCCTAATTTTTTGCTCTCTGGTGTGAACTTTCACTCTAATACACTGGAATCGTCTCTGCTGTTTCTGTTTCTTAGTCAGGAGCAGCGATCATCGAGACTGGATGCCTCACAACAGCCACTTTACGGGCACCCAACAATTCACCGTTGTATTTTGCTATCATGACTACTATCCGTTCAAAAATACAAGGCAGGCGGTTGCTTTTTGAGTAACTTTTGATAAAAGATAGATAGAGACCTGCCATTTTTACTATTCGAAAGCCAAGACCTGTACTTTCCACAAGCATAAATGATTTTTGAAAAAGATTCAAAGATCGGATTTTGAGATCTTTGGAAAACCAGTTTGGATCTCTGAGAACTGACATAGAAACAGGACGATCTTGGCAATATGTTTTTTTCAAAACATTTGCAAAAAATGACATATAGAGCAGGTAAAATAGAGTACTTTTTAATATTCTGACGTAATGTGGATGGATCCTGGCTGGGTTATGAATTTTTTAATTTTACTCAAATATAGGCAAAAATGAGTTATTTCACCTAATATAGATTTTTACAAATGTTTTGAAAAAAAAAAATGCTAAGATCGACCTGTTTCTATGTTCAGTTCTCAGAGATTCAAACTGGTTTTCCAAAGATCTGCTCAAAATTCGGTCTTTGACTCTTGTTCGAAAATCATTTTTCCTTTGTGGAAAGATACAGGTCTTGGCTATCGAATAGTGAAAACGACAGGTCTCTATCTATCTTCTGTCAAAAGTTACTCAAAAAGCAACTGCCTACCTAGTATTTTGGAACGGATAGTAGTATTAATAACACTGAAAGAAATTTAGAATTTTTGCTCTTCTTCAATTGTACGAGTCATAAAAACTTGTCTTGAGGAAGCAGTCTGTGGTTCCGGGGTTGGTGCAAATGATAGTATCTCAGGCTTCGGAAGATATTAAATAAAAAAGATTTGGTAAATAGTATTAATTAAAAAGAAACCGTATCTAGAAAACGTAGATAAAAGTGACAATTAACTGGCAGTTAATGTGTAAAATGGTATAAAACTGTTAGTATTAAATGTCTGTATTTAGACCGTTTTTTTGCCATTTGGATAAATGTCACTTTATGGCATTAAAACATTCCCAGTTATATTGGCAAAAAAAGTTAAACAATGAGATCGAATGCCCGCAAAAAATGCCATTTAAATGTCTATTAATGGTGCGTTAAAAGGCATTTAAGTGGACATTAATTACACCATTTTCGACGTTCTGAGATATTTCCTACCTAAATTTTCTGATCATTTATTATCTTATTCTCACAAGCGTTTTGGGCACTTTTTATGTTTTAGACATCTTTTGAAGCAGAGGTGCGAAATTAATTAATAGGTGTAAAATGTCGAAAAAATCCGTAATTCAAATATTTGTTTTTTTCTTCATTTTGTGACTAA